GAAAGCTAAACAAGAAAAGAGTCAGCATACTTTAGATGAACACACAGTAATGAGCTTTAATCCAACTGATAGGTTGGTTGTTTTTCTCAAAACATTTTATGATAATGTCTTTAGCCCATAGGTGGCTATAAGGGTACCTGATATGCTTGGTAACATATTGACTTGAAGATCATAGGTCAGTCCCCTCCATGTGTGACTGGACTATTGAAGGATTGTAACTTTTGGTTTGACATTTCTTTACTGTATAGCAGACAAGAAGCTTTTTTTTTTTAACTCCAGCAGTGAAATATGATGCTTAATTTCACTTATGGCATGGCCCGTTAATTTGCAGGTGTGTCCAGTATGTGCAATGAGGGTGGGAGTTGATATGGTTGCTCACATAACATTACAGCATGGAAATATATTCAAGATATCCTTCTCATCAAGTTATTAATTTCGTGATAATCTGCTGTTGCATTCCTTGAACCATTTTGTGGAGAACTCTGCATGTAGTCTGATAAATGTGTGAAACTGCTTTAAGAGTGCATTTCTCTTTCTTTAGGATTGCTTCGGAAAGTTGTGCAAAAGCTTTCTTATCTGGGTGCTTTCTCCTGCACAATTTTCTTTCTGGCTATTAAAGCTAATGGGAAAAAGAGAGCCAGAAGGGACAGGATTCCTCATGACCTTTGCTTTTTTTGTCTTTTTTTCTTCCATGTAAAGAATTGCTTTCTCACAATGATGTGGCTATTTTTGTATCAGACAAATAATGTGATCTGTGCAGTGAAATAGAACTAGAGCTAAATAAGTTAGATTATTGCATTTCCAAGAAGCTTAACCGTGCTCACATGTTTTACTGAAAGCTTGACCAGCTTATCAGGTTTGAAACAAATTTTAACTCTTGAGGTGACTAGGCCATGCCATTGTCTTTGTGTTATGAAACTTCCTCTGCACATTTGGATATGAGCTAATTCTCATAGATGGGATCATTTTCCAGATTTATGAACATTTGCTTCTCCCCTTCACTCCGAGACAAACTTTTCTTTTTATATCCTTCCTGAAGTAATTAAGTAAATACTGCAAGGTAAAATTCCTTAACTACCGATTACATGCAGCGGAAGAGGAAATCACGTAAAAGTGGATCTTACTCAACTCTTTCTCTTTTGAGGAAAGAATTGCGCGAAGGAAATCTGCAGACTCTATTTGGGGGTTCGTCATGTATAGTGTCCTCATCCAATGCAGCACCTGATCCATTGTTGTCTTCATTTATTTTGCCAATGGCTGATGATTTTGTCAGCGTTCAGAGTCACTTGTCTACTGAAACAAGCCCAGCCAAGAAAAGTTCAAATGCAAATGTAGCAGAACGGTATGTTATGCATGTTTATTTGATGACTTGAAAGTTGAAATGCTCTATAAAGTGTTGATATCTCATTATAGCCAGGTTATTTGCTGTTGTACTATAGAAAAATAATTTGCACCTTCTTGAAGAGAAGTAATTAGATGCTCCCTCCAAACATCCCCACAAGGACCAAAAAAATGAAGTGGCCATTAGTCCTTCCTTCTCCCCTTCTGCCAGTAGGAAAAGTGCTTGCTGGTTTGTAGGAATCATTTGTTTGGTTAGACTTCTGAAAGAGGTTTGGAGGTGTAGGTTATGGATGCCAATATCTCGAATAACTCTCCACTTACCGTTGTTACTAATGGAGTGCAGGCTTTCTTAGCACTAAAAGCTAATACCAGTGCACGTTGATGGAGTACAGTAGGCTTTCGCAAAATATGTACCAACTGCATCTTTTCTTGCTTAGGGTGGTGTATCTCTGGTGGAATTTAGTGGGGAGTAATGGGAGGTTGTGCCTAGAACACAAGGTGATGAGAGACAGCTTTGGATTTGGTAGAAATTCATGACATTCATCTTATCTATGCACAAGTTGTGGAACCATGATCATTTGTTTGTCAGTATTAGCTAATTCTTTTTCTTTGCTTTGGCATGTACTTTCTGCTTCATGTGTCAGAATCTAGGGTCCTCGCAGGACTTAATGGTACCATGCGAGGTCTAGACATTCAAAATGTACTTGAATGTGATACCTCACAGTGCTTAACGCTGCTGTGAGAGGCGGTCTCATATTTGAATGTGCATATTTGCACCCATATGCACTCACATGTAGGCATGCATACAGGCAAGTAATTGGCTTGTTAAATGGCCAAAGTTATAGGTACTTAAATCTGAAGAGCTGATGAATTGCAGTATGATAAAGCATGTTGATGTTTTGGTTGATGACCTCTAGGGTTAGATTGTGAAAGATGGTATTTCCTTAACAACCTGCTTTGGGTTAGACCAACAGCATTCCAACATTATGTAAAGACACTTGTGTTTTTGCCCTGCTTAACCTTTCATTACATCCCAAGTCTACATTTTGCTGCAGCATGTTATCAATGTGTTAGCTAGCGTTGCAAGATCTAATATTTTTCGGATTTCGGTGACAGAAACATCCCGTCATCTCCTCCTCTCTCAGTCAAGGATCAGGAAGAGAAGGCAAAACGATGTGAATTTGTTCAAGGGCTTTTGTTGTCGACGATTCTTGATGACATTTTATGAGGAGGAAGAAAAAGGGGCAAGTACTCATGGTAGCTGCTGCAATTGTGGATTTGAAATTTGGAAGAGAGAGAGAACCCTGCCTCCAATCTTATGTTTGTTTGTAGTTAATATAACAATGTATTACAAAGTGTTTGAATAAGGTGTAGGAATGAGTGTAAGTTTATTTTGGCTGTGAACTTTTAGTTATTAGGCCACCAATAACAGACTATTTGATCCTTTAATTTGAGGTTCTTATTATATTAAAGGATAAAAATTAATAATAACTACTAATTATATTATAATAATAATAAGATCTTTGCATGAAGTGTACTTCATATAATGTGGTTGGCACTTGGGATTATGAGAAAGTTGAGTTATCAAATGGAGGATTTAGAATTCACTACAAACCAACAAAGAAAGGAAACATTTGCTGTTTTCAAAAAGAAAACCCAAAAAAAAAAATAAGACCTTATAAAAATTCTACATTATATTTGAACCATCTAATTTTAGTTTCATGTAAGACCATTTAAGCATTTTTGAAGAATTTTCAAACATCTTTTCCTTAATAAAATATAAATTTACAAACTAATTTTATAAAATTTCTAAGTTTGTTCCAAATATCACCTTAGCAAAAACAAAACAAAACAAAAACAGGCACACCCACAATCCAGACAGCCCTAATTCCAAAATTCAACTAGGTTTAAAAGTTCAATCATAACACCATTCACTGAACTGTCAAATCCTAAAACCACCCATCATTGGTGGGAAAACCTGTTTGTCTCCAGTAGTATGATTTCAAGCTCTCACATGTATTTGTCTTCCAAACACACTGATCAAAAGGTAGAACAGATGTAGTCCACAACAAGCACAGTTTAGCATGAAGGAAACTCCAACATCATGTACAATGGTTAGCCCGCATAGACATCAAGCACAAAAAATTCCATAACACCCACATTCACATACGTCATACACAGAGATACAGACATACATATGGTTACTGGCATAATGCAATCAAGGAAATTCTATATCATGCAGCAAACAAGGAATCAATACTAACAGAGTTCTGATTCACCTAGAAACAATTGACTATTATAATGATAAATTAAGAATAGAGAGCCCCGTTTGTGCTCAATGTCAGTGAATCATCTCTATAGACAAAGTTACAAGAAAGGCCAAAATAAAAAAAGGAAGAGAAAAATGGTGTCTGGTCTACCTCCAAAGTGGAGGAAAAGAAGGGGAAAAAAAAAGCTATTTAGAAAGATTAACAGCATCAATATCTAAAGACCTAAACTCAGCCATTGAGGAAGTCTTGTGTCCATGATCCTCTTAACTACATCTTTTACAAAAGAATCAAAACAAGATGAACAACAACCTTCCATCAGACTTCTCTGCCCTATAGATGTGACCTCAACATGAGGACACAATAATGGTGGAGGCACAACGTGAACCTCGTTTCTCCTATGCTCAAGTCCGCATGCAGCTAAAATAGTGTGAATAGAACTCCTCACAATGTCTGTGATAGTACCATTGCCTGAATGAAAAGAAAAAAGTCATCTTGAGCATTTACGAAAGAACGGAAGCCAAAAGCCTGCCCTTTTTTGGATAGAAAGCGAAAAGCTTGTTCAACTCAATCATAATGCATCTAACAGCATAATTGTAGCCTTAAGTGCTAAATTTTTCTTATGAATAGAAAAGAATGCATGATCATTAATAATCAAAACTTTGTTCTACTTACCTAACTCGGTATCTCTTGACAAATTCTTTAAATGGGTTTCGACCATTACTTGCAATTGTTCCTTGGCTTTGGAAGAATCACCCTCTTCTCTTGGCATAGAAGGGGCCATAAAACCATCAGATCCAAGGTTGGACCTGCTGCTGCATTGATGAGGCTGCTCCCTACTAGTTATCGAATTGATCCTCAGATGTTCAGGCCAAAGTGTCAAATTGACAGACCTATCCATAGTGCTGGCAGTCGGTTCCTCAACTGAATGACTTCTCAAATGGTCTGATCTAGAATGAAATAGGTTCCCATCTTGCAATGAAGAAGAGGAATTATCCAGCACTCTCTCCTCAAAGAATGTGTTCTGTAACATTCCTGCTTCGCGTGTCCTTGCAGGCTGAACTGCTATTTCCCTACTTTGATCAGTCAGGGAGTTCGGGAAACCGATACCTGAATTGGCAGTTGTTATGCCGTCATTTCTAGTAGCCAATGTTCTGCCAATAGAAAGGATATTCTGTATGTGTCGGTGTATCCAGCGTCTCCCTGATAATGTAGGTGCCCCAACCCCGTGTACCGGAGAAGCAGCCAGAGCATCTCTAGTAAGAACTCTAGGAGATGAAAGATTTCCTAATCCTTGGACAAATGGTGCACGAGGAGAAGGTATTGAAATAGGATCCAAACCACCGCCTAAATTTACAACAGGTGATGTTCTACTATATAAGTTGTTGCTTGGTGTCCTCTGATCAAGGGACAGATTGGGAGCTTGAGAACTAGTAGATCCAAGAGCAACCGGTCTACAACCATCACAGTACCAATTGCCTTCAGGTACCTCTCGCCCAAGTCCAACGCAATAAGTGTGAGCAGAAGAATCACAAAGATCGCAGAGTAACATAAGGCCATCATCTCCACCTTGGTGACACTCAGTGCAAATTACATTCTCGTATGGGTCAAGGAAGCTCCTGAGTTCTTCTTCTGTTGGCTGGTAGACCTGAATACAGAAATTTATACATTTAATGAAGAAAAAAACATATATATATATATGTACAGAAAAGCAGAAAAGATTCTCAAGAAGAAGGATAAGCAGGAGACTGGGCAGCATATAATACCTGATCTCGCTCTGGTACTTGTATCACTACATCTCTCAATCAACTCCGGTTGTTGATCTTGCAGCTTACTAATTGTTTTAAACCTCTGCTTGCACAAAGGGCAACGAGATTCCACCTTTGCCCACTCCATGATGCAGTTAAAACAAAAATAATGACTGCAGCAATCTAGCGTTCCTCTCAACCTTCTTTTATCTTCCTCAGACAGACAGATTCCACAAACCTGCTTTACCACTTCACTTCTCACTTCCTCAACCTTCTCCTTACCCTTTCTTCCAGATGTCTTTTACATGGAAGTA